TTTGTTTTGTTTTGTTTTGTTTTGTTTTGTTTTGTTTTGTTTTGTTTTGTTTTGTTTTGTTTTGTTTTGTTTTGTTTTGTTTTGTTTTGTTTTGTTTTGTTTTGTTTTGTTTTGTTTTGTATGTATGTATGTATGTATGTATGTATGTATGTTTGTGTGTGTATGTTTGTATGTTTGTGTGTGGGGAGTGTCCTGAAGGTGAAAAACGGACGAAGAGGGCATGCAGCTGTAAGTCTTCATCCTTCATGGTAGGGGCATGTAAGAAAAGCCGAGCAATTGGGACCAAACAGTCCAAGCCGAACAAGATGCCACTTGACACGCCAAATTGAATATATAAAGTTTGAACCCTTAACAAGGAAGTTGGGCACAGGCAAATTGTTCTGGGTGTTGCATGGGTTTATCCGCTTTTAACTGGTCGATAGAGATAACTTCAACGGATGAATCGAAATTCCCCACGTGTCCACCTGCACTTGCCAGGCCTGACAGTGAGTCGGACACCTGGGCGAAGTGGGATGATGTGCCTCCTTCACCCAGGACTTTCGACAGGGCACCGTGGTCGTCACCATGAGCCATGGTGACCCATAGGTTCATCTTCCACAGAGATCCCCGTTGAAGTGTCCTTTCCAGAATGGCGGACCTTGAGGCCACTATAGAGCCACCATTCTTTAGTAAAATCACTTTTTGAGCCGACAAATTGCACACCCGATGTACGTTCCACGTTTTTTTGTAAAAGGTATTTTTGGAGGCTCACGGGACACCATTGCATGTTGTAGGTAAAATGAGATGTGCCAAGGCCAAGGCCTCCGTTTCGTGGTGATTTTCCGAATTCGGACATGTCATTGTGTAAGAAAAACCGTTGAAGATCTCATGTTGTAATGATGTTTGGCTATATAAGCTCAAGTTAAACTAACACTTGGTGTGCCCAAGTCTTTGTCAAAAGCAACTCCAAAATTTGGGACTCACCAAGCCTTGGAACATGTTGTTTGTACCAAGACTTGGCTACGGTATCCCTGGAACCTCATTTTGTCGTAGTGTTTGTTTTAAAGGGGGGTGCAGAACCTATCATGTTGCAACAAAAATAAACTGAGAACCCACAATCCTGTAGAATTGTGCAAGATGATGTGTAGGAACAAGGAAGAGGAAAAGCTCTCAAGCCAGAAATTATAACGGGGATCCATATATCATATATATAGTGTGTTTCAATAGGCCGTCGCCGCCTGCAGGGGGTCTCATTGGGCAGTGAAGGCAAGACCGCCAAGACTTGCAGGAGCTGTGTATGAGACCCCCTTCAGAGCCAACAGCTGCGACGTGCTCGAATTCGATGGGCCACAGGTGCCCATGCATCAAAGCATGTCAAAACACAATGGTGCCGTGGAGAGAGAAGACCGGCAGGGAGACAACAAGTTGCGGGGTGAACATCACTCCTTCGGTTTGAAGACCGTTGACAAGTTTGGAAGTCGCAGGGCTGCGTTTACCTGACTGACCACCAAATGCTGGTCTGTCCAGGCAGAGCATGACTGCTTTGGAATGGCTCAGTGCAATGGGTAGGATGTGTAGTTCTTTGCCCATCCAGTTTTTGTGAAGAAGATTTCAAGACTTTTGCCTCCAACGCCGCATTCTGTCACCAGCTGCCAAAGCAGGAAAGGAAATGATATGCTTGCAACATGATGTAAGCGTAACTAACTTCATCAGAAGACTGGCTCATGACTCTAACTGAGCACTTTAAAAGTTGTCGCATTTGGCAGGACCACTTAAGATATGATGGCTATGTGAGGGGACTACTGTGGATGCCAGGATATGTTCATGGTGGTGCTTGATGCCCTCAACTCATTTGGAGACCTTTTGCGAGCAAATGGATCTTCCCATAAATCCATGGAGTCCAGCTGGGCAGGGCCAGCATAGCCAGACTTCAACAGGTCTCAGTGCCACCAGAAACCCGCCATGGAGTGCCACCACTGGCAAATTTGGAGGCGTTTTTGTGACTGAGGGCACGCACCTTTTAGCGCAAAAAGGCACCAGGTTTTTAATACAGATGGTTGCATTAGTGGTTTGGGTTGGGGGCACTGCAGTAGCACTGCTGAGGGCTGCTGGGACGGGAAAACGTATACAAGACCGCCTGCCAGAGTGGTATCACAGAAAAACGATTTGTTCATGCATATGTGTTTGTGCCCTGAGCACATTTATTTTTCAGAGCTGAAGGTAAGATTTAGTCGGTGTACATTACATGTTCCAACTTAGCAGCAGGGAAGGACAATTCATGGTTTTATGTATTTGCGTTTGGGTACCTCAATGGCAGGCAGGGAAGGAAACCTCAAGCAACATCGAAGATGCTGCACATAGTGGCGCAACTGATGTGGAAGATGCAACCAAGGAATTCAAAGTAGAACCCCCTCCAAACATGTATTTTTTAAAAACATTTGTCCAGATGTGCTATAAACCTTATGTTGTGTGTCTCCCCTGCCTTTGTGACACTCAAATCAAAGCAAGGTGGCTTTTCTGGGCGCTGGAAGCCGCCGCCTCAGAGTGACTGCTTCGCTTCGCTTGGCAGCGACCCCGCGGAGATAGACATGTGGGCGTTGGTTGGAGGACCTTCTTGGAAACTGCGAAATCAGCTGGAGGCTTCACAGACAGCTCCTGGATGCTGTTGAGTGTTTCGGCGTGGAACTTTCTTCTGCGCGCTTTCAAGAGGACTGTCATCCTTTCCTGTTTTTGCATACCGTGACCCATGACCCACGATCCCGTATTGTGATAACGGGTTGCCATGAAGTACACTGGGTGGCTCACCCGGCAGGGTGATATCATTGGTGATTTAACCCCATAGCGCTGAACGACAGACCAGCCACTAGTTTGGAAGGGGGGGTTAGTAGCCTTCACGATCCACCTGTGACACCCGGCACAGTTGCCAAATCCCACCACTCAGCCACTGAGCCCCAGGTGCAGAACGGCTTCCGCATGTGCTTCGCGCTGGCAGATGAGCGAGCCACAGGTGGAGTGGTGAAGCCTGGCAAGTCCAAGTCACCTTTGGAAAAACCCCGCAACAGCTCAACTGGGTTTTAATTCTAAGCTATATAGTATAAGACCAACAGTTAGAATATTCAAAACATAAACAAATTGCAGTTAGAATACCCTCAAAAAAAAAGACATGTGAGTCCTACACTATACAATGGTGTCATGCTGTCACCGCTCTTTTTAACCTGCCTGGTGCATCCGACCGCCAGTGCCTCGCGGGGCAGCTGCCGACTTGCTGCGGGCGGTGGCACAAGCGGAGCGCTTCGAGGCGAAATGGGTGGAGTTTCCACAGGCGAAATGGAGAGGAACTTAGTGGGTCACAACCTCCTCCACCAAAGCACGGAAGGTTCACATTCCTTGTTATAGAGAAATGTTCATTTTCAGGTATCAACCAGGATGCCCCCGCTTGTGCTCCACAGCCATGCGCAGACGTTCTCGAAGAGCTTGCTTTCACCTCCCCGACCCAACCCGACTTGGCTGCTCACCTGTGCCAAGGCCGCTTTGTTGGATTGCCGCAAGGCCTTGCAGGCGAGAGTGCTAAGCCGGCGAGGGGAAAAACATGGTTTGCACTGCCTGGCGCATGGAGTCATGGAGGCAGTTGGACCTAAACCTCATTCGGATCGAGGGTCTCCACACTAGATTTGAGTCTTGAAACATCGAATAGAATCCCCGTAGATGTGAACTCTTCCTCATTGCACTGCACGCCTTCTACCGGAGACCGGTCATCCGACTCGCTGGTGACGCGGCTAGCGCGGCCGGTTTCCAGGTTTGTGAGGCCTCACCCCGCGAAGGACTCCGGGACGCCATGCATGTCGCGGGTGGAGAGTGGAACAGGAGTCGATCTGTCAGGATGTGGGACGATGTGGTTTGAACATGTTTGCGAACAAGGGCTAGTTACAGATCTATATTCAGATCTAAATAGTTACAGATCTAATCAGATCTATATCTGTATATAGTTCTCTTTATCTAGTTACAGATCTATATAGTCTTGGCATACGACGCCTAAGTGTGGAATTTATTCATCCTTCGAGATGCCAAAGACTCTCAGGAACTGAACAGCCTTCAGAACCGAAGAGGCACGGGTGCCGCCCGTTCCGTGCGCATTTGGAAGCACAAAGAGCTCTTTTGGGTCATGGAACATCTTCGGTCTGAGGCTTGGGCATATCACATATGATCACCAAGGCATTCTCACCAGCTTTGAGTTTGGACCTGTCTTGGAGGTAAAACCTCCGAGTCCACTCCTGAGGTTGTATTAGCTAGATTCAACATGTGTACTTGTTGAATGTGCACGCTTGGAGCTTGACCCCGGCCCCATTCTGTGAGAAACTGACATGTCCCATTTGTTGGGGGGGTTGACTGGGAAGCCCCACAGTTCCTCAGAGTGCAAAAAGGTCAAGGCTGCTAGGGGCCCTTGCCTTGTGGAAACCCTTTGGCGCGGTGGAGAACGGGGAACGCTCGATGACCTGTGCCAGGTCATCCCAGCTTACACCCACAACCGTGGATGCGCCTGAGTGGCCAGAGGTGCGCGCCTTGCAACCGCCTCGTACGCAAAAAGGAGAGTAGTAAGGAGAGTAAATACCAGGTTCTTTATTCTGCAAACCACACTGCAGTCCAGGTTTCTGGTGGTCTAAGTCTGTGTTGGCTGGCGCGGTGTGACATGCGCGGTAGGAGGTGCTGGGAAGAGCATGGGGCCTTGGCTGTCAGGGCACAGGAGGTCTTTGCAAGACGTCCTTTAGACTTGAGAAGCCAGGTTCTTGGGGGCTACAGATGGTTACAGGCTACATGTTTTGAAGCAGCAACCCAGTGGTCCCACCCTGTCGACTGCATGGGCCATGGTGACCATTCTTGTTGGAGTCGCAACTCCTTTGTTGCTGGATGGTGGGCCACGCCGGGCCAACCCAATGTCTGTTTGTCAAGGTTTCTTGGAAGAATCCCTGTAGTGTCAGCTACTCTTCCTTGCCGTACGACCGGTGCATGTAATTGAAACGCTGATGGGTTCAGAGAACCCTCTTGGGTTTGAACATGTTTCATTGATCATTGACCACAACCGGGCGTCAATCAATCACGGTCGGTAGCACCCTCAAGTGGTCAGACCTTGGAGTGATCGGACCTCGAAGCTGCCGTTCGTGCGAGAACTATGGTGACCTCCTTCGCTTCCCCTTTGGAATTGCAGACATGAAGACCTTGAAGGCGCGATGGATGCAGAATGATGCAGGATGATTCAGACCACTGTTTGTCCTGTTGGCACGTTGCTGTTGTCGGGTGATATTCTTTGTGACGATTGATGTTGTTGTTTGGCTCTTTTTGCGCGTTGGCGGGCTTAAGCTGGACCCAACTGCTTCCATGCCCTACCCACTTCAGCGCATGCCGGGTACTCCAAGCGTCCGTTTGCGCGTGGCCAAGCCCGGATCGCACGACCAGGAAGTGGCGCGGGAGCTTTGGAGCCCCATCGGGAGCGCAGCCGACCTTCCGGAAGAGGCACAGCGGGGGGTCTGGGGCAAGGGGTTGTCTACTTGATGATCGAATTGATCGAGGTCCCATTTTCCTTTGAAAGCAGTTTCTTGAGCAAGAGAGTTTGCGGCAGATAGGAAAGTTGCTGACTGTCCAGAAGCCCCGTCCGAGAGATCAGCCCTAGTTTCTCCTCTCAAGGAAAATCTGAAAGATAGGTTTTGGCTGCGGGTTTGGACCTACAATTGCGACTTGCCCCACAGGAGCCAGGTTGAAGATTATACCCTTGGAACTCTAAAACACTGACTCGAAGACTTTCAGAAGCATCGCACATAATTATATAGATTAGATGTCAATTAATGCAACATATAAGTCATAAGTCATATGTGTTTTGTTTCGGGTTGTCTTTGGCTTTTTCGCAAGGCTAGACTTTGGCATTGACTTGTATTCAATGTGTGTGTGTGTGTGATCCATCCTGCCAAGGTCTCAGAGCATGGCTTTCGCCCATTCCCGGGGATGAGGTGCGTCTTTTTTGCCGCTGGGATCCGACTATAGAGGTGAGCAGATTGTTAAAGAGAGGGATGTGTTTATATATAGCATAGCCAGCCAGCCAGCCTGAAGTTACTATAGATAGACTATGCAAATACCTGAGCAAGTTAAGTTCATATACTCCGTCTTCCGTCCTATCGTCAGTCAGCAGTGCAGCAGAACAGTATGCGGAACAAACTACAGCCCAATTTTATGAACTCTGCGGTCATATCGTGGGATTGTTTGGAAACGTTTCATGCTCTACAGGTCCTTGTTTCAGATGGTTAAAGGGGCCGTCAACAGCTTGTTTGAGTGGGAGAACGGCAGGAAGCCAAAGCACGTTAAATTACAAGCGAAAGTTGGCTGCAGATTCGATAGAATTGGCCAATGCCGTAGACAGAAAAAAAGAAGCGTTCCTTCAATCTTTCCCCCAACCAAAAAAAACTTGCATAGAACGTTGCATAAGGCAAACTAAATCCCAAGCTCCAGCCAGTGCGTGACAAGCCGGGCCAGCACATGCTTACCGTGACCAGCGACCGAGCACGGACCCAGCGGACCCGGGACGAACATCGGCTCAGCTACGGCACAGCAACGGCTCCAGTGTAGACCACTTGGGGGGCTGCAAAAGGATTCAATAGGTGTGTCCAAACATCCACACTCAACATGAATCAATGTTGAACACTATAGCTCCACTGACGGTAGAATTGGCATGGAGTCTAGGAGGGAGGGGTGTAGCAGGCACACATAGGCACCCTCTTGTGCCGGGCACCAGCTACAGTGCACCAACAGCTGAGACTATAATATATAAATGTGGGCAATGGAACTGCCTGTCTTTGTCCCCCCCCACGTGGTTGTCCGCAGCCCCCGAACATGTAGTTACTTGGTGCACATCATCCATCAGTTTCCTCCCAGCTCACAACGAGGCAACCCGACCCCCAAGCCCCACAAGCTTACAAGAAAGAATTCATGACATGATTCCAACAGAGTTTGGATACCAGACTCCACTTGTATCCACTTGCATCCACTGCTACTGGGCTCCGCAAGTGGACTCCTTCCGCCTTGCTTCGCCTTCAGCCAGATGCACCTCTGAGATGGTGGGTCTCCACCCTGTCGGAGGAGTTGGCACCCGGTGGTCCGCCCGGTTGGCCCAGCGGACGGGATGGCAGCCGTTTTGGACCTGATCAAGGGGTCAATCTGCATGATATGACCGGGTAGGAGATTAAACGTGCTGTGTTAACGGTAATGTGTCCATGTTTTTTTTGGGGCAATGGTGCGCTTTCATGGTTTGGCTCATCAGGATGAATGATCCTTGATGTGCGAAAAGATGCGAAAACTCTGTGTGAGCCTCTTTTTGTCCCATGGCAATGATGCAAACATACTCAAACTGAAAGAAATAAAGCAAGAATGAGTCCGCAGGCAAACCCTACATGTTACAAGTCTACTGAAAGTCAAACCCTACAAGTCTCATGTGGACACACCCGTTTAACTCAGTTGGCATTTCGGAGAGCGGCCGGCGGCCTGGAATTGCACGCTGCCTTACTACAGCCTCACCATTTTGGACCTGCAGCCTGCAGACTGTCAACCTATTTGTTTTCCTCATGCTGAGTCCCCCCCGCATCGCGGGAAAACCACTTGGGCTCTTCGTTCTTCGGTGAGGCTCTCCAACAAGGACTCCGCCGACACGATGGACCCTTCAATAGGAAGCTCCCCACTCTCCTGTCAGGCCAACTCCAACCCAAGTGGGCGAGAGGCGAACAGCACGGAACCTTGAGCCAACTGGCCCCATCCGGAACTGGTGCACAGTGCACGGAACCTGAAACTGACCCCAGTCGACACAAAGCACAGCCAGCATCACTAAGAAGTCATTCTTGGAACCGTCCGAACGTCCGAAGAGAGTGCAACACCTTTTGCCAGCACTCCCGCGGACTCGGCCCATTCTTTGCCCAGGAAAATCCTCTTTCAAGGCGGAAGGGTGTCTTCCACGGACCTCCCACCACATGGCCAAATCCACCTGCCTGACTTCGGTCGCACCGTTTGGAGGCCCAACTGTGGTCGGAGGCTCAGAGCTGGTGCTTGCAGAACGCCCCCTGCGGGGAGCCCCGAGCCAGGGGAGCTGCAGCCTATGTTGGTGTCATGGAACAATAGAACAAATTAGAACAATGTGATGCTGATTGTTGGAGTTAATATTGTTTAACGGAATACCCTTTGATAATGTTCCACTTTATTCCACTTGGGTGTTAAAAATGGTTTAATGCATTGTTTGATCATAGTATTTCTAACTCAACAAACGGGTCGGACAGATGACTTCTTTTTCCGGCAAACTGGTTTTCGGGATGGTTTTCGCGTTTCCGCACTTGATTTGGTCCAGGTTGAAGTGGACTCCGATGGATTCCGATGGACTCGTCCTTTCTTAAGGTGTGCGAGATGAGCGAGATGAAGAACTGAGTTGGTAGGCCTCTTCATAATCCTCATTGAAATGTTCTTTCGCTCGCGAACTGCTGGCTGAAGACATCCATTCTGGAGGGAAGCGGAAACATTCACAAAATCTTTGGGGATAGGTTTTTTCCAGCATGGTTGAACAAATGTTGTGGTCAACAACATTCCCTCCAGTCTCACTGAGGCACTGGTATCATGCTCTACGTGGGCGGCAACACCATGAACTGCAATGCGTGGTGCGGCGCAACCTGCCAAGCTTGAAGTGTTTGGAGGTTGGTTGTTGGAGGATCAATTGCGGCTGCAGACTTCGCTTCAGCCTCGATGGCGCCTCAAATCAACAACATGGCGATGAGTCTGTTGTTGTTTTTCGCCTTGGAGTTTCATGATTCGCCTTGGCTGACATGCCTCACGTCGGACCATGTCACCTTCCAGATCTTTCAGGTGTCAAGACTTAATCGATTGGGACCAACCGCCAACTGCGCAGCCAACATCACGGCTCAATCCTGAACCGCTCGTGACGCCAACCCCCGCGCCTCTCGCCATGCCTGAGACCATGGAGATCAGTGATGCGGCCAAGTCTGGCGATGGCACCACGCAGAACGTGGGCATCAAGGTGGGTGATTTCATGTGATTTCTGTTTTGTACGGAAGTAATGCCTCTATGATGTTCTATCCAATTCTTTGCAAGTGCCCCATCGCGGCCTGTGAATCTTTTCCAACGAGAATGTTCATTCTGCATCATGAGCTTTAGGAAACTTTAGGCAACGACACGATCTGAAAACTGTTTGGACCTGAAGGACGCCTTCGATTCAGGCCAAAGGTTCTGCATCAAGGAACCCGGGGACAAGCTGGATTCCACCCTCAGACACTTCAACATATAGCATGAAAGCAGACACAATTCATTCTGAGACACATTCTGCACTGGCCCCGACGAGAAGATATATATATATATATGATAACAGTTTTGACTCGACACTTGAACTTGGATGTCCATCCAGAAAAGTCCGGAAAAGGGCTCACACTTGGTTTTCTTTTCCCTCAGCAAACCCTTTACCATCTCAGGGTTCTCACCTCACTGCCAGACCTGGATCCTCCTGCCCTCCAGGTGAACGCCACCTTCCAGTGTGCCGAGTGCCGCCAGAAGTTCGACTCCGAGAAGGCGAGTTCGGAGGGCGCCGACGTCGCTCAACCGAAGTCGACCACCTCGACCGAAACCGGCTGGAACGGGTTGAAACAGGTCGAGTTGGCGAGAAAACCGAGTTCGGATGGGAGTGAAAGTTTCGTGTGGATTGAGGCAGACTTCTGAGGGATTGAGACAGGCTCCTGCCGATGTTAGGGAAGGTTCGCTGGGCCGTGCACTCACTAACTGTGATTTGGATTGACAGCACCAGGTGCTGTAAGTAGTAGAATTAGTGACTAGATGACACAAGTCCTGGAGTCGTACGGGCCCCAGCTCAAAAGGACTAGATGACCAAAAGACCTCGTGCTGCATATGCCACGGAGATGGTCATAATCAGACCATCTCAGACCTGCCTCAAACCCTGACTTCAGAAAGCATCGAGGTCTACAGAACCCCTTTGACGAAGCACTGACGCCTTTCCCCCACGACTTTTGACCCAAAATGGTTTGTGGTGTGTTTTAAGAACAAGATTTCCCTCCACATGTGACCACCCAGTTAAAGGAGGGGTTCCCATTCCGAATCCCAGTGGCTAGGGGTGACTGCTTTGCAGATCGAAATTTGACTCCTTTGAGTGCCTGCGTTATGTAAGCCCTCGTGACGTAAGACGCCCTCTCAACTTCTGAACCTGGACATGTTGGCTGGTGCTGTTTGTGCTGCCCAACCCCAAAGCCCAAAAGAACCTGAACAAAGAGGTTTCCTAAAAAATGGCAAGGTCATTTGGGGAGCATCCAAGAGCTACCACTCTCCAGAAGTCCAGAAGTGGCTTAGATGGTTGTGTAGCTGTAGCTGCTCCTCAGCTCACCATCAATAGGTTGGAAGGTGATATCATTTCTTTACCCAGTGGGTGGAATCGGCTCGGGTGGAATGGCGTGCGATCGAGGCGCCGCTTTCTCACAGCAAAGTGGCGCAACATACATGTTCTGCTGGTTTGCACTTGTCAGGCCAAGCAGTTGCACTGGAAGTTCATTCACGACCCCAACAGACACCAGGAAGACTGAGTGAGCAGGAGCAGCTCTTGAAACAGAAGCCCTTGTAGCATTGCAATGCTTTGTTAGAAGGGACAGATTGAAGTGCAGGCCGCTGCTTTTAGCACCAGCTTTGCCGAAAGATCCATTTTCCAGGGCTTATCGCGAGCAGAGTGGGCGTGTCAGACATAGGTCTGCAGGCTGACGACGCTTAGAGAAACCAAAGCAGCAAAATGTCCGAAGTGGCTGAAGCGTCTAAAGTAGGTTGCTAGCAAGAACTGCAGTGAGTTTTTTTGGGGTGACATGCGTGGAGAAAAAGATACCAACCTCTTTCCAGACCACAGTATCCTGTTGAGAGCGGGAAGGGTAAGGTGGCTGCAGGTAACTGTTTAGCTGAACTTTTCAAGGTTCTGCAACTTGCTTTGCCAGTGAGGTTGTTCTGGTGCAAAGGCAATGGTTGCATCAGCAGCTTGTCGCGGCTCAATCTTGTCGATCTTGAACTGTTTAGCCTTGCAGCTTCGTC